CATAACATATGAGTATTTTCATTCTACTTTTCTCGTAATAGTTGGAAATTAGAGTCAAGCATTTCAGCATCTCTTCTCAACAGAAAATATGCTGATATGAAATCAGTACATGGCACATTGAATCTTAAAGTGCCAGATGAAATAGAATGATTTTCTTCTTTACAGCTATAAACGAGTTCTTCTCACAAGTGCCATGAAGGTCATTGATGATCAACAGTCTGATATTATAGTAAAGAAGAAGGCACTATTGAAAGAAATTACAGCCATGGTTGTGAAGTGAGTATGGTTGTAGTTTTGTAGTGAAGTGTTATTGTGTTATGGAAATTCTGTGTCAAGAAACAAATATGTTTCTGCATAATTTTAATTTCAGGTTGACTAATGCAATCAATACCAGAGGAAAGCAGCTGGTTCTCCAGCTCTGTGAAGTCTGTGATGCCAAACAGAGAACACTGAAAGAGAAGAAAGTTTCTTTAGAGCAGTCATCCAATCTCACTGTTCATTATATTGATTTCATTAACAATAAACTGAACAAAGGCAGTGACATGGCTTTACACATCACCTTCAGAAGATCAAGAGTATAAGAGTTGATATTTCAGATCGTGAAGTACCAGTCAGAATTTCAGTGGCTATGGACAAATTGAACGATCTGATTAAAGGTAAAGTAAAGATGAGGGAATATATGTTGTTAAAAGAACAAGTAAAATAGTTTGAAGGGAAGGAGCCTGAAATTACAGTTATTGATGACAAGAATGTAGAAAATAGATTGCTTCGCTTTGTTACGAAAACAGATACTGCTTCTTTCTCTGTACTCGTGGCTAACTGGCCCACCATTGTTTTGTTCCTTGAAGTTGTACTTATGAAGTGTTATTGTATTACATATTTGTGTATTCTTGTATTGTTCTACTTTTCTAGTAATATTTGGAAATTAGGGTCAAGCATTTCAGCATCTCTCAAAGAGGGAAATATAATTAGTGAAGAAGAGAAAATATTATAAAGATGGGCAGAATATTTTGAGGAACTGTTAAATACGATAGAAGTTTCCCCAAGATATATGACGGCACAGCCCTTAGTAAATCCCCCCTTCAGTTGAAGAAGGAAGGATTGAATATGGGGTTAAGCATAAATGAAAATAAATCTAAATATATGAAAATGGCACCTACTCAAATTAACAGACCGCTACAGAATCTATCAATATAAGATCATAATTTTGAGGCCGTTAGAGAATTTACTTATCTAGGAGTTACTATAAACAACGGAAATAAAATAGATAATGAAATAGCAAGAAGACTAATGGCTGGAGATTGTACCTACTTCTCTCACATCCAACTGTTTAAATCAAACATATTATCCAAAACAACTAAAGTAAAACTATATAAAACACTTGTACGGCCAGTAGTTACCTATGGGTCAGAAACTTGGACTGTAAGAGTAGCAGATGAAAACTCCTTGTGTGTGTTTGAAAGGAAGATCATCAGGAGGATTTATGGTCCTATACACTCTCAAGGGAACTGGAGAATAAGAACTAACAGGGAAATCAACTTAATTATAGGACATGAAGACATTGTGAATTTTATCAAGTCAATGAGAATAAGATGGTTGGGGCATGTTCAGCGAATGAGTAATGACAGGATGCCAAAGATGATTTTAAATGCCAAAATGGAAGGTGACAGAAAAAGAGGACACCCAAGGAAAAGATGGATAAATGATGTAGAACAAGATCTCAGGAAGTTAGGGACACATAATTGGAAGTCAATGTTGGGGATCGTCAGCAATGGAGGGCTGTTGTGAGGGAAGCTAAGGTCCATCCAGGACTGTAGAGCTGGAGATCATCATCATCATTTCAGCATCTCTTCTCAACAGAAAATATGCTGATATGAAATCAGTACATGGCACGTTGAATCTTAAAGTGCCAGTCTCCCACATCAAAGAATTTTCAACATCCCTGGTTAAAGCCTTAAAACATAACTGCTACCCGACATAATTCCACATAGTCCACTTCTTACACTTTCAACAATTTCTATGTACAGATAATGTTACACCACAATGAAGGGGCCAGTCAAAGGAAGATCACTACACCAACACATCATGAGACTTCTGTAGGATAAGAATATTTGTTATGTGAGTGTATGCAGTAATATAAAGGAATTCCTATTTAATTTATTATTTGCATAGATTCCCAAGGTTCTATCCACCTACTGTTCAGAAACACCAGCTATAGTTAACTACAGTGTCATTTATGTTTATTGCCCACACATGCAGTTTTGTTTATCACTGGGAGTGACATCTTCAGTATGTTGCAACGTTCCCATTCCACTACCACTGGGAGCATACAGTTCATGTCATTCAGACATGATTCGACGATATTTCTTCTGGGGAGGTAAGTCAGTCTCATCATCCGAAGGCAATGTAGAGTCATATGCATATGTTGGCAGCCACTTCTCCAACAGATGATCAAAGAATTCTTCAAGTGTTCTCGCATCTTGATATATCTGACTATCTTTCTGTAAGTGAAAGAGAGTTATTTACAATAAGTTCATAAGTACACCCTGTACATCAAGCAATGATGACTTCCAACTTTAATGGTGATATAATTCAAATCTCTGTGGTTACATGGCACATCATATCTTTTGTACAATACTAGTAGGATCAGCATACAACCACCCTTTTATTTACAAATAGCATTCAACTGGGATCTAAACAAATGTCTGCAAGTTACCTCTAAAGTAACTATGAATAATACATTTCCCTGTGTGAAAATAACTGCCAAGAACTACACAGTGAAAGAAAACTATGGAGCATAGCAACTGGTAGCTAGACACAGATGACACAGCTTTATGGTAATTAATACAAACCATAAGGCTGAGAATCCTTAACAGAGTTACTATAGCAGAAGTTATAATTACTTAAGTATAACACACACAGTCCCCACTTAATGGTACCTGCACCTTGTCGTGGTGGTGGGGCTTGAGTACCTCAGTGATCCCAAGAGCTATGCTGGCGGTAGCATAGCCTCCCTAGCCAGATTGGTCGAGGGGGAGAGGTCAGATTAAGATAGGTATCCTGATCCTCCAGGTTGGGGGTTGGTCGCAAGGCTAACAACCTTACACCGTAAAAAGGAAGATGTTTCGAAACCTCGATCAAAGCCTCGGACAGACAGACCTAACAGACCAAATGGAAGAGGTGAATTGAGGAGGCCATGGACCGAATATGGACCGAAGAGCCATGGAAGAAGATAACACACACAGTCATACAG